GTTGCGGGCCTGGTCTCTACCGTAAAGCCAGAACCATCTACCAAACTCGGCACGGATCGAACCCTTCTCGCGGCTATGCACGATATGCGAACAGCAACTCCGTCAGAGTTCAGCCCCAAAGCATCGCCCTAGAAAACTATCAGACGAAGAAGTCTCGCACGAATATCACTTCAAATATCAACGACGCTGCCAGCAGTCAAGAAGAGTTGGCATCTACAAACCTTGAGCCTGGAATTGGCGACACCAAAATGGCGACAGAGAGCATCAAGGAGCGTGACGTGGATTCCGTGCGTCATTGGGACGATAGGCCTCACGCATATTGAGAAGCACAGATGATCGCCCCTTGCGGAGTGCTCGTTGGCCCGAAACGAAGAAAGGAGAACCCATGGAACCACGCATACTCAGTTTGGATCCTGCCAACCTACTCCGTTGAGCCCGGAGCGCAAAGATAATTCTCGGACGAATTGGCCGACAACCGATTGCCTATCCAACGCCAATACACGAGACATGTACAACGATTATGGCTTTTGTTCCCAATGACCTGCAAGCAGAGATATGTACGAATTTTTCCCCAAGAGATGATTGATTGGTAGGAGGCACTCTCAGAGATCCCGGCAAAAAGTTTGTGGGCTGCACAGCGAACAGCGAACAGCCTGCGTTATTCCTACGATTTGTTGTTACCAGCAATACGAATGTCCAAGATAGCGTCGAATATTCGTTGAGGCACTGGAGAGGCGTTGACTATACAGTTTTTCTGTGACAAGTTTTCTATCTAGCAATGTCACCTGTACAAACCGTTCCCTACCCCCATCCTATCTAGACTGAGTTTGCTACATCACAAATGGCCTGCTAAGGAAGGTTCTAGAGTAGCGACAATGTTGACAATAGTATCGGTAGCATTGCTCAAGACCGCTACTTATTGACAACACGTCGATTCAATGTTACGTTTAGCAAATAAAACGAAAACGACTTCGATTTGTGCCTTGGGCTGACAGCCGAGTAGGTAGCAGCGCTGGCCGATATTCAATTTGATATTGGTAATGTCGTTTAGTCGGTGGCTGATCATTTGTGGTCGTCACCAGAAGTCTGGGATACGTATCAGTCTGACGCTCCTGGTCGTATGGAAGAGAAGTAAAGGAGCAGGTGAGAAGAGGCAACGAGGGCAAGTGAAGCGGCTAGTGGCCAGCACCGAGAAGGGCAGGTTTCCCGCTCAATATGGAGTACTCTGTGTTCCTCTCCAGGCGACCTTGCGGCTATAAATAACTGTTTCGTTGTTCTTCCCTTTTCTCTTGTCCTGTCGAATTTGCTCGTCATGCTCGTGTCACCGTCCCCGTCTGCAGTTGCTGTACCGTCGCGGGGTCGATAAGAACCACCCACCTGAAAATGCGCAACCCTAATCGTCCCATAAGCGACTTTTGCCAGGAGAAGAATTAACGTCCCTCTGCCACCGTTTTCCCGTACTCGGGGCGCCGCAGACCACGAACAGCTCAGATCCACGTGAGATAGCGCGATATTGTAGCATATTCCAGAAAACTAAGACTCGGGTAGCGAAGGATCATCTAGTGGAAGGGACAACCTCAAAGGGCTGGAAATGGCTAGGCACTGGTGCAAATGCGGTGGAAAAGACCCAGTCAACGGCCAGCACATGTTTCCATCCTCCTGCCACCTCATCACTTCAGACTGTTTCCATGCATGCACACATCCCCGCATCCCGAAGATCAACATGCGAGGCCCCTGTGCTCATGTTTGCGTAACGGGAGTGCCTGAGAGGGAATGAATTTCCAGCTGCTTTTCCTCCCGCTGAACCCTCTCGTTGGCTATTCACATGCAGGTGTTCAACAAATCGTCCTATCATTTGCCTGCCTGTAGCATCATTAATGACGCGAGATTCCACTGACATGCATCCCTAGGGCAGGTAGCTGCCTTTTTATCAATTCAGTCTGATGACACCACCACAATTCCCTTGCATTCAACAGTCTCGCCTCTGCCGCATCCCTTCCTCCACTGGACTCACTGCCCTGCTTACATGGATCATGGTATCTTTTCGAGGCTTTAGCTTCTGGGCCAATCCTATGGCTGTGAGCCAGCACATCCAGACTACTGTCGAGGTCGATGACCCGCCGGCGTCGACACTCACGCCGTCAATTCTAGCGGCATGCGCCCACGCAGCTGGATATCTCTGGAAGACACCGGCTTCATGATGATGTGACCATGGGTACCAATCCTACGGTCCGGGGGAAAGAATGGACAAGGACGGCATGCCCAGAGCAAAGATCAGAGATGCTAGCTGTGGCCAATGTTGCTTATCCACTGTATGTCGAGGACAGAACATGGGGAACTGCCTTTCCAATGTCTCCGCAGCCGAATGGCACATATACTGCCCTTCTGGATCCCTGGATTCCTGTTTCTCCGTCTCACCATCTCCTTCTCTTAGGAACTCATCATGGCTTCGACCGAGTCAATGCTCATCGAACCCAGCGCTTTGCTCCCGATTTACACCAAGCTCGGGGGGAATGCACTCCCTGACCCACCTGAGCACGACCGAACACCCGGTCTGGAACTAAATTCCCAAGATTTGAAGGCCCAGGCTCATGTGGCGGTGACGGATATTTCCCCGGGCCAGAGTAACACGGAGGCAAATGACCATAGCCCGATCGATTTAGAACCGACTCCCGTCGTCGATTCACCAATCTCGGAGGCAGCCGATCCTGATCCTTTGCCGAAATCTGCGCCAACACGGCAAGATTCAGCCTGCTATTTAGATGAAAGGTCTACAGCCGCGCCTGTTGCGCATGATCTTGGACATGCAGAGTTTGGGGATTCCAATCGTGCAGCGGCGGCCAATGCAGTCACACCCGAATGGCCGATACCAAATGTGTCGGCGCTTATCATAGACCTTGGTGATGTGTTGTGCAACTGGACTGCTCCGGAAGCCTTGCCGATATCGCCAGCAATGTTACAGCGACTTCTCAAAACTCGCTTGTGGCATGAATATGACTCAGGTGTAATTACACGAGAAGAATGCTACGAGGGTCTTGCTAGACAGTATGGTCTCCTGTTGTCCGATGTCACAGAGGCATTCAAGCAGGCCGCAGATTCCCTGAGTCCTGATCAAGAGGTTTTCGACATGATTCGAGACTTGAAAAACACTTATCGCGGCTCCTTAAAAGTCTTCTTGATGTCGAACATTCCCTTGCCTGAATGGAAGGCTTTGGAGGGGGACACACGGTACGATTGGACCTTGTTTGATGGTTTCTTCATCTCCGCTCAAGTGGGCATGTGTAAACCCGAGCTTGGGTTCTTCCGCCATGTACTTGACAAAATCAACATGAAGCCGAAAAATGCCATCTTTGTGGATGACAATGCCGAAAATATCCTCGCGGCACGATCCATGGGCATCAGATGCCTCAGATACAGAGATGCTGCAGGGTTGAGGCGATTCCTACACAACATCTTCGATGATAGAGTCGAACGAGGACGCCAGTGGCTGCAAAGGACCGCTAAGAATATGTGGTCTGTTACCCTCGATGGACGAGAAGTGAGAGACAATTTTGCCCAGCTCTTCTTATATGAAGCGGCTGGTGATTTGTGGGTCTCAAAATACCCGTCTGTGAAATCTTTCGTGTTACATGCTAACAAACTGAGCTTTAAGAAATCTTGTCTCGTTGAAATTTTACGAGCGCACATGGAATTACTACATTGGTGAGGATGAGACTCCGTAACCTCATTTGACCCCTGAGAAACTAATCAACGCAAAAGAGAAACCCATTGATACCATTGAGAGACACCCCGACGATATTGATACGACTTCGCTGGCGATGGTCCTCCTGCCGCAGGATGTCGTAAAGGCGCACTCGATCCTTGATGAGGTCCTGTTGTACACAAATCGAGACGGCATCATTCTAGTGAGTTTCGTCCTTGTGTTAAATTTCCTGCGGCCAAGACTGACATCCACAGACATACTTCGACAACAAACGACCCCGTATCGATCCCGCCGTTTGCGTCAATGCTCTTCGGTTTTTCTATAAATATGGTCGCGACGACTTGTCCGCATTGCAACCTACAAAAGCCTGGGTTTCGGATGTCCTGTTCTACCGAGCATACCTCGATGGAACGTATTACTACTCTAGTGGAGACGTCTTCTTGTACCTTTTCAGCCGCCTTCTAAGCGCCAATCCTGAGAGCGATATTTACCGCAGCACTTGCGCTCTTCTGCGTGAACGATTGCAAGAACGACTCGGGTCGCCAGGGGATACGATAGAGCTGGCCATGCGCGTCATTGCTTGTCTTGATATGGGACTCGAGAATAACATTGACTTGAGGAAGCTGGAAGCATTGCAGGAAGAAGATGGCGGGTGGCCGATTGGCTGGCTCTGCCAGACTGGAAAAATCAGTCTGAAGATAGGAAGTCGAGGTGTTGCGACAGCGCTAGCGGTAAAGGCCATCGAGATGGCGCGGAAGAAGCAATGACGAACAGAGGATGAGGACTCTCCATACCTATGCTAACCTAAGAAGATACCTGGCCTCGGGCGTTACAGGCACCTCAGCATCTGCCTGGGTCTGGCATTACTGATTTGTTTTCCATGCCGACTTGTCCATTCCCGTTGTGATGTAGGCAAGGCACACAGATTGGTACAAATACTCGGTACACACTGACAAGACTGGCATGGCAACGTCTAGGGAAGCAATGGGTTGTTCCGATGCTAACCGCAGGCTTAGCAACTGCGAAGATGTGATTGGTCATGAGACATTCCCCATTAGGACGCGGGGATGGGAATGCGAATGGACAAGCACTACGTCATTGTGTATTGGGCAAGGCTGACTGGCAACACGTTACCAAGCCATTCACTCTGCCTTTGTCAGACACGGTGTGGCCTGCTGCAGCCTCTAGAAATCTCTCCTTTCTTTGTTTCTCACATACGAAGCATCTCCCACGATTTCCTCTATTGACAATTCTATCAAAGTTGATCTCGTAACCACCACCGATTCATCCTGTCATCATGGCCGCTGCTCAAGTTTGCCCCGTAGTTGGGACCACCAACACCGTCCTCCCTCCCAAACACCCCGACTTCGACATGGACAAGCCTGGCCAGGTTTGCCCAGTCACCAAAGCCACCACAGACCATCATCACAATCTCCACAAGCACCCCGGGATCTTCGACTCGACCAACCAAGACCTCGCCCACGCTGAAAATTGTCCTGCGCTTTCCAAAATCGTGAGCCGTCCCGAACAACAAGCCATGGACGAGGGAATCTGTCCCGTTGTCGGCGCTGTCTCTACTGTCTTGCCCCCGAACCACCCCTCGACGAGCGACGCAAAGCATGGTGATGTCTGTCCCGTCACAAACGCTAAGTTTGAGCACCACAAGGACAAGGTGCATGAGCATCCCAACCTTGAGACTGCCGCAAAGGGTGCGGTATGTCCGGTTGTTGGAAAAACAGCTTGAAAGAGCGGGGGAGAACCCTACGATAGATAAGTCATGCAGGATCTGGCAGTAACATCGTGGTTTGTACCACGAGGTCTCCATCGCCATTGAATGGGGGCGACGGCTGGGCCTTCATACCTTTATTTAAGGTCGTCGGGACATATCTATATCTACTCGGTGCTTTAACTGAGCATATCTGTACTAGCACCAATCTATATTATACCAGAAACAGAACGATTTCTTGCACTGCTAGCCTAGTTGCCTGTTACCAGCAACGTTGACACGGGTCTGTGCTCGGTACATGTCCAGTGTTGGCTGGTGGTGTTCGGCAGAATTTTGTTCCGGACCCCGCCTTTTCGCGTAGCTGTGTTTGCGTGCGCCGCCCATCGTCCTCTTCAGTTCCCAACTACTTGTCTGAAAGACCTTGCGACTTGATATCGCCAAAGACCAAGACCAGTCTAGGCTTTGAATACCACCTCTTGTACATTGCGGCCACTTGCCGTGTCTTGTGACTTTAGCTGGTCGGCAGTCTCCGTTGGTACCGCGCTCGAATAGTCGATCATTCCTACCGATTGTCTGGGCCGGGCAAGCCTGAAGCTAGACATGTAAGACGTTTTCCCCTTGTCCAATCGTGGTCTGGGTTCCAAGAAGGATCTACGCTCTATCTGCAAGGTCGAAAGAGATGCTAGCCATAGTCGCACAACCTCCCCTTGTATGCCAATGCGGAGATCAGAGTCGGCCTTGTCATTGGGGACGCGACGTTGGAGTATCGCTCCTTGATAAGGCATTAGGTAGGTGGCACGCGGGCTGTTCTATCTGCTTGATATCGGCTATCTCAAAAGGAGAGTGTGCTTGAGCTCTGGCGTGCAATATAAGACCCCTGCTGCAAGATCGTCACGCACAACGGATCTCGTGTGTCCTCGGCGTCGCCAATGCTCTCTGCGTCTGAATTCTAGCACGCGACAGGGCATAAGATACATCACTCCGTCTTTGACAGCGCTCAGCCCACACGCTGGGATCGAACGAGAATCATGGGACAATGGACTCGTCCTGCGGGACCTCTGTCTCGCTTCGTCCCCACGTCACAGATGGCACTCCTCGTCGCCGTCGTCTCGGTCTCAGTCGTCGACTCGGTCCTCTTGGGCTATGACAGCTCGATCATGGGCAGTCTCAACGTGATGCCGACATATCAGAACTACTTCACTTTGACCACGGCCACCAAGTCCCTGAACACGGCCATCTCGTACGTTGGAGGATCCTGTTCTGCCCTCCTCGCTGGATTTGTCGTCGGCTGGATTGGCCGATGGAAGAGCATCATGCTTTCTGCAGTGCTCACGCTTATTGGCGCCGTCATCCAAACCGCGGCCCAAAACATCGGCATGTTCATTGCTGGGCGTTTCATCGTCGGTAAGTGTCGAGCGGGACCAAGCATCCTGGGAACATTGTATTGTCTGACACGAGCCCAGGAGCTGCCCTAGGTGTTTCTCAATGCGCATGTCCGACATATGTGGCTGAGACTGCTCCTCCAAAGCACCGCGCCGTGGCATTAGGTCTGTATTATGCTTGCTGGGGCGTTGGGACCCTTGTCGCTTCAGGTGTTTGCTATTCGGTAAGCATTTCGATGGCTGTTGGCCGGCCACTGCTCAACTATCGTAACCTATGCAGACGCAACACTACTCGTCGACATGGGCGTGGAGAACCCCCAGCTTGGTCCAGATAATCCCCAGCATCTTGTGTATGATTGTCCTCCTGTTCCTTCCAGAGTCGCCCAGGTTTCTCATTGACCGAGATCGACACGATGAGGCTCTGGAAGTACTGGCAGCGCTCAACGCCAATGGCGACAAGGAGGCTCCGGTGGTGCTTGTGCAGTACCGCGAGATAACCGACACGATTGCTTGGGAGAAGAGCCAACAGCTCTCCTGGCGACAGTCATTCAGCACCCCAGCGAACCGGAAGCGCATCATCATCACTGCTACATTTTCCATTATCGTGATGCTTCCAGGGACCAACATCATTACCTTTTACTTTGGTGACATGCTGGTATGTTTTACTTTGGATTTGTGATTGGACGCGCAAGTGCTGATATGTTGTGAACGATAGTCACAAGCTGGAATCAGCGATCCGACAACCCAGCTCGAAATCAACATCATCTTGACCTCGTGGACACTGGTCGTCTCTCTGGCGGGTGCTTGGTTCGCCGACTCCCTGGGCCGAAAGACGCTCTGCGCCATCAGCCTGGCTGGCCAAGTCGTCACATTCTACATCCTGGCGGGACTCACAGCAGTGTATGGTAGCTCGACAGACAAGTCAGGGATATATGGCACCATAGCCATGATTTTCCTCTACAACGCATCGTATGCCTACGGCATCACCCCGCTTACAGTGCTCTACCCGCCCGAGGTACTGTCGTACTCGCTGAGATCATTTGGCATGGGTTTGTACACGCTGACCACGAAGCTGTCGGGCCTGCTCGTGACCATGGCGTTTCCTTTTGCCCTGGACGCCATTGGGTGGAAGACCTACATTATCAACGCCAGTGCCGATATTGTGATGTTGGTCGGCGTTCTCTGGTATTGGGTGGAGACAAGAGGCCTCACTCTTGAAGAGGTGGACAAGGTCTTTGACGGCGTCAAGCATTCCGACGTGCCTGATTTGAAGGCGGTAACTGAGGGGGAAGTCGAGGTCGGGTCCGAGTTACTCAAGACAGTATCGAGCAATGTGGAGAACGAGGAAGTTGTTATCACAAAGACCAAATGAGTTGAGGGGTACTAAGGGGGAGAGATCTGGATCCAAGGCTGTGCTTGCAAAGATATGAGGCAGTGGAGCGGATGGTGCTGGGACGCGTGGATGAGCCATCAAGAGCCACGCATCCCCAATGACAATGATTGCAACCAGCTGAAGACCCGGACCTGTACATATCTGGGCAATGATCAGAGACGAGCGGAGAAGAGCGTAAAAAGAACGTAAGAACCCTGGTCGTTCGTCCTGCAAAGGGTCTGCCCGCGGCCCTCTTATCAACATGCCGTCACATCCCTATAGTTGCTGCGGATGGAGACTTAAGTCGCCCACTCACCTTGGTAGATCATCCCGCATCCCGTCCAATGTCATGTGCGGGGAACCAGAATAGCAGAGATATGTATACGATAAGTTGGCCGCGGCCAAGCAGACAGGCTTGTTATCATGTTATCGTCAGAACTCGTCGTTGTGTGTGGTGGTGGACGCCCCTTTTTTTTCTCTCTTTTGTTTCTCTGCCTTTCTGTTGACATCTGCTCCAGAGCTCACTTCTGTCCGTAAGGAAGATATAACAGCGTCACTCTTAACGTGCTCGGGAATTCAAAGGATGGCAGCTGCAGACTCAACACCCATCCCCGTGGTTTCGTTTGAGAAATTCCTCACTGGCGACCGTGCGGACCAGAAGGAGGTGGCGCGAAGAGTGTACGATGCGTTCTCTGAGGTCGGGTTTATATATCTGAAGGATTATGGGATCCCTCAGACGAGAGTGGACGAGATCTTTGCTCTGGTCGGTATCCTCATCCTGAGTCTGTCTTGTGTAACCCGATGGACCCCCCTGCCCCTTTATCGCGACAGCCTTGTCCGTCTGTCTGCGTTAATTCTCCACTCCGCCCGGCACAAGTACTGCATTTCTGCTTCAGCTGGGGAGTTGGTCCTCACGGTTGTCGCGGTAGTACTGACCATGTTCTTCCACAGGCCGAAAAGTTCTTCTCCCTTCCCTTATCGACCAAGCTCGCTTATAAGCTCTCGTCGGCCCACATCAACCAGGGATACACTGCTGACGGCGCGGAGGGGATCAACGATCACAAGGAATGTTACGAGCACCGTCGCTTCGTAAACGACCTTTGCCCTTCAGAGAGCGAACTTCCCCAGTTCAAATCCACCCTGGACGACTTTTACAAGCAATGCCTGACCCTCGCCATGAATGTGCTCAAGTGTCTGGCCATGGTGATGAACCTTGGGGACGACTTCTTCGAAGGCATTACGAAGAAAGCGGATCCACAGATGCGGCTGATTCACTATCCGCCCATCGAGCGCAGAGTGATCCAGCAGCAGGGCCACGCCAGGATCAATGCCCACACGGACTTTGGCTTATGCACGCTGCTCTTCCAGGACGGCGTCGGAGGGTTGGAGGTGGATCCGTCACACGAGAATAAATTCATCCCAGCACCACCTATCCAAGGGGCCGTCCTGATCAATATCGCCGACTTGCTCCAGCGGTACACCAACGGCCGCGTCAAATCCACGCGGCACAGGGTGGTCAGTCCCTCGCTGGACCGGTTCAGAGACTGCGACGTATTGCCGTCCAGATATAGCATCCCCTTCTTTGTGCATCCGGACCCTGAGACGGTCATCGACCCGATCGTGTTGACCGAAGGCGAGGTCAAGTTGTATGAGCCAGTCAATGCAGGCCAATGGAGGGACTGGAAGACAGCGACAAACTACAGATTGAAAGGTGATAATGGTGAGGAGGTGAGTTTGAGGAGCGTCGCCGTGGAGACCTGAGGCGGTATTGGATCGAACAAGGAGTGGAAGAACCGTGTCGTCCCTTGGGTTTATAGATGCGAGATTTCCGCCTGCAGACTTGCAATTGGAGTGCATTGAATGTGTGCATTCGTGGAACGAGGTTGTAGACTAATGCTTGTTAGCGCAGGGGCTGCATGCGTGCGCTTGCGCTCTATGGACGTAGACTGACCGTCGATCGAGTTCCCACGTTGATGGTCGTGGTGTGGCTGCGTGTCAAAGAGGAACCGCACCACGGCGTAGCTGCAACCCCCAGTTCTCACTGCTAATATGCCATGATCCATCTCACAAAGTCCTGTTGTCTTGTCCCTCGCCAGGGTCACATCGTCTGAATGCGACTCAGCAAAGCGTTCAGTTATCTCTACCTGCCCGAATTGTTGATGGCTGACTGCAGCAGCGGGTCAATATGTCTTACCACATTTCATCGCCCTCTTCGAAGCAACAGACACCTGATACAACCTCAATCACCTCAACGACTCCCGCCCCCACCCCTCACACGGTGTCGATGTCATGAAATACACAAGAATGGTGCCTGTAAAATATCCCTGGTAGGGGTAGGACGGAGGACATCGTCGCAGTTCATCCAGCACCCCTGTGTGCCCATCCATCATCCTGTGTCACCTGCTCAACTGACCTCGAGCATAGCTTGTCGGTTCTCACATTGAACTCAGCAAGTCGGAGCGTCCGCGTTGTCGAGCCTCCGCCTCCGCCTCCGCCTCCGTCTCCGTCTCAAGCGCCGGATTGCTGAGGCGCCAACCACAAAGCACGATGATCGTCAGGTAGCATTGTGTTACACCCAAGCATAACGTCAGCCCGATGTCCAGAGCGGCCTCGTGTGTAAGAACTCTTTCAGAAGACTTAGAACCCTTTCAGAAGACCAAGACGACTAAAGAGACCGGCGCGCTTCTATCATGATCCGAAAACATGGTCGTTGATACTTGAAATAGATACGCGACGCTGGATCTCGTCTTTCGACACGTCGCCTCCAAGAGCTGATCGACCATACCTCAAGACAGATCGTCCAGCGTCACTAGCACGATAGCTCATGAGGTATGCTCAACACGCCCTCAAGCCACGCTCATGGTTGATCTCGTGAGACTCCAAGTCATGAACTTGCCATACACACTGGGTCGGGTTATCAAGCTTGAGAAGTAACAACCACCATATGGAATCGGCTGAAGTCACCTCGCAAGATTCCTTGGTAGCATGTGGTTGGCCCTGTTTCGAGGCAGTGAGAACTATCTCGACACGGCTGCTTTCCTTTCTAACGAAAACCCGCTCAATTTACTGCTTTCAAGCAGCGATTGAGACAGTCATCTATGGACAACCTAGCGCACAAAATGCCCACAACCGTGGTGGAGCTATCTCACTTTCGGGGCCCCCTCGGCGCCCGATATCGCTACCCTGAGTGGAGTCCCCCAGTTCTTTCGATCTCGTCGGTAATAAAGCGGCCGCCACAACCGCCCAGATGGCGTTAGGGATGTGCTGTCGTCACGCAAGCGGTCCAAAGACCAAATGACAATAATATCCAAACGGTTGATCGGCATCGGAAACTACACGTCGGCCATTCTCCGTCGATACTTTTTTGGGGTTCGTCTTTTCGTACGATCACCTCACTACCTTCCCTCGTACAAAAGCTCAGATGAAGTCCGCATTTCTGATTTTACAATGTTTTTGGTTTCTGGCTTTCATGAATCATTCAGATGGCAGGGGATATCTCAGCATCCCAAGATGTTGAAGTGGGAAACATTCCCGTAAACGCCGAAGAACAGCCTTCGGAGAAGAAAGTCGTACAAGAGAATGAGAAAACCGAAATCCTTGTCAACTGGGATGGCCAAGATGATCCGGAAAATCCTCAGAACTGGTCGACCATGTTTAAGTCCTGGGTCACTCTACAGCTGAGTTTACTGGCTTTCTCTGCAAGCCTGGCTTCCAGTATTATCGCTCCAGCAAATCGAACAATAGCGGCGTACGTCGGCGTGGGCGAGGAGGTTGTTGTCCTCAATGTCTCCCTCTACATGTGAGTGTCGATCAGCCAGGTTCTCTTGTTGAGCTCCATTATCTGACTGTATGTAAAGTATTGGCTTCGCCTTCGGGCCCTTGATCTGGGGTGAGTCCTCCACGCCTGGTTTCAAACTCCTCCATCGAGCTTCCACATCCTGAGCCAACGCCACTGACTTGACAACGGTGTAGGGCCTTCAAGCGAAGTCTGGGGTCGGCGATGGTCCATGTTGCCGGCAATGACGTGCCTGGCTTGCTTCTCGATCGGTGCCGCTGTGAGCCAGAACGCTCCGTCAATCTTCATCACCCGTTTCTTCAGCGGCTTTTTCGGTTCGGCAGCGGTCAGCAATGTCAATGCTGCTTTGGGCGACATTTGGTCTCGGGAAGCTCGTGGTACCGCAGTCTGCATGTATGGCATGGCCGTCGTGGGAGGTCCGACTCTTGGACCAACAATTGGCGCCGCCATCCTTGTCAATCCACATATGGGCTGGCGATGGACTGGATATATAACGGCTATGCTCAATTTCGCGATTGTCGCTCTGACATACTTCTTCATGCCCGAGATGTATCCGCCAGTCATTTTGAAATGGAAGGCCCAGCGAATGCGACGAGAGACTGGCAACGATTCTTACTACCACCCACAAGAAAGGATCAAGGTCGACATCACGTCCATCATCACCAAGCAGCTGTCGCGACCTCTGAAGATGCTCGTGACAGAGCCGATGGTCACCTGCATCGCATTCTATGCGTCGTTTGTCTATGCAATCCTCTACATGACACTTCAAGTCTTTCCCATCGTTTTCGAGGAGCAGCGACACTGGTCACCTGTTGTGGGGTCGCTCCCCTTCCTAGGCATGTTCATTGGAATCGTTTGCGCCACCGGCGTCAATCTTGGGAATCAACCTCGATATATTCGAAAATGTAGGGCCTCCAATGGAAGACCAGTCCCTGAAGCAAGGCTGCCGCCTTTGGCAATCGGTGCTGTCATGATGGTGGTCGGTCTGTTCTGGTTTGCATGGACTGCTGCCCCCAACCACCCTTGGCCACTTCCTGTGGTTGCTGCCATGTTTATTGGTGGTGGATTCAACGTCATCTTTCAGCAATGTAGGCATATCCCAGATCCTTCGGTAAGATTTGCTGACATATTCTCTAGGCATCAACTACCTGGTCGACGTCTACGGTCTCTACGCTGCCAGTGCTACAGCTGCCAACACCTTCCTACGCAGCATCCTTGCCGCAGGTCTCCCTTTGGCAGCACGACCCATGTACCATTCGATTGGAGTTGGCCCTGCAACGTCCATACTTGGAGCTGTGGCTTCTATTATGCTCCCGGTGCCTTTCATCTTCATGAAGTATGGTCTGACTCTTCGGAAGAGGTCAAGCTTTGCGCCCGTACCGGAATAGCTAGCATCAGCTGCTTCCACCATCCTATCCTCAATCGTTGGGTGTTGGCCATATGCGGCGATGTGCCTGAGCACTCTTTCCTGCCGCAGCGCCAGAATAGCCTCAACGGCAAACTCGTTAGAATGGTCCTGGTGGCCATCCCGTGACGATACAAAGTTGCGACCGAAGAGCCTTCTGCCCCGGTTCTCCTTCCAAGACTCTGGAACTGCGGACACCTTGGTTCGCAGTCCTGTGCAGAGCGGATGTCGACACGAGAGCTCCCAGTTAATGCCAGGACAACGTGTCTGTGCAAACCACTTTGCACGATGTCCGAGGACACCATATCGATAAATGGTTGTTGCCTGGGGTGCTGGGTCATCTAACTTTTCAGGACAGAGGACCTCGAGGAGGTTATGTCGGCAGTTTTGTCGGGGGACTGGGAGAAATGGCACAGTAAGCGAGTACGGAAGGGGCCGAGAGATGATGGTCATAATCCGGATATAGACGCCGGAGTCTGTCAAAGGAAAGCACTGCGCTGGATCTTCAGTGCATCACCGACCTTTGGGACACGCAGTTACGCACATGTATAGGACGAGAAATGCATCTATTGCATATCACCGAACTAGATGGGATGGATTCAATGTCGTGGGTACGGTGAGAATGTGAATGGAAATATGAAAGGTCATTAGACTCGTGCGAACGGAAGTTGTGAATACATGTTTGAATCAAGACAAGCAAGTCAATGAATGGGTGGATGAATGAATGAATGCATTCATCGCCCTCTGAAATATCACTGCCGGTTTCCGATTCGCTGTGGTCGACTCACCAACAACAGCATCGGCAGAGAGGCTTCAGACACCTGATCCGATTGAGGGCACGCGAGGTCCGGAACAGTCCAGCAACAGCAGCTGGGTTTAATCTTTTTCTTACCTCCTCCCCTCTCGTTCACTCACTCGCTCTACGCGCTTGCATTGTACTGTTTTGTTTGAGACTATAAGGACAAACTCATTAAATTCAGCCTCAAGATCCATCTCCACCTCCGCCGGAAGATGGGCAGATCTTGAGAACTCACTTGGTCGGATCGGCAAAGCAGTCAATATCCTTTCCTCGCCTTTGTTCTTCCCTCTGATGTATCACTGACTGTTCATCTCACCTGGCTTTCATCGTCCATCTTGTTTGTTCTCTCTTGTTCGCCGCGAGATCTGGAGCTTTTGCGCCTTTAGATCGCGGTCCTGGGACGAATTGTACAAAACAAGAATTTCTTTCCGCTCGGCCTCGAGTGGTATTATCCACCCACATCGACAGCTTTATCGTGAAGCGGAAAGATCTTTCAGCGAGGTGGTGTCTTTGATAGGTGGGCTCTGAAGACAGGGTTGCTCGCCTGGATCTGGGCGCAGACACGAAATGTCAGAGGCAGAGGTCAAGAAGGAAGAAGGGGACGAGTGCTGCGCCGCTGGCCACAGAGCCAGGGTGGCACGTGGCAGATCTGACTCGATATCTGACATGTTCGCTGGCACTCTTGATCTGGGCGCTCTGGCCACCACTCCCGGATCATGGCTGGAGGCTGGAACAGAAGAAGCTTCACAATCCTCGAGGGCAGAAATACACTATTCTCCCAAGCCACATCCCTGGGCCTCAGCTATCAACTTGTTGCCCGCAAACATTCCTCTGTCCGTCGACGATGGTATTTTTGGAGCACAGGATACCGGGCTCCGCACTCCCTCAGTGGCGGTGGGCAGACGCTTCGAAACACTCACAAGCGAAGTTGACGAAGACAGACAGATAAGGTCAAAGGGCCTCACCGCTCCTCTATCAGTCGCACAGTCGTTGCACAATATTGTGAATGTCAACCTGGACCAAGTCATTGAAGAGGGTATCAGTGAGGGCTGGAGGGAACGCATCCACAACCCGAGGCAAGAAAACCTCTTTGCGCCTGGCCCACCAGATATGTCTAAAGCCACCTCACAAGGTCAAGAGCTGGGTTCCCCAATCTGCTGGCTTGACTCAAAACACAGAGTGGAAGGCTAAGCCCCCCAACAGACGTGAGAATCGACAAATGAGCCAGGATTTACACATCTGTGCACGGCCTGATGAGATGTGTGGGTACGGGCGTGTTCTTGCTGCAAGCCGGGCGTTGAATTCGGTGGTGGCTTGGGATCCCGAAGACCCTGTGCTGTTAAGAAGGGAACAGGAAGGGGAGCACGAAGGCGAGGATGGAGTTTCCCTACAGACCAGGGCTGAATTGTGGCTGAGGTCCCTGACGAAGTGAGATGGCTGGGTGTGTAGGATGGCTAAGGCTTAGCAGGGCGCAAAGCAATCGAGGAAGTTTCAGGTTGAGCGGCGAACAAGAGACCGCACTGGCATCCTGTCAAAGCGTTGTACGTCAACTTCCCGGGCAAAGCAGTCGTTCCACTGGAAGAGCCGCCTCTGTTGAAGCCGAGTCCAAGGTCATCCGTATCAATTTGCCCATTTTGGTGCGAAAAGGTCATCTCATCTGGAAAACCAGGACTGGGTCATTTGATTGGATGCCTTTTGTCATATCTGTGCTTTCTCACTGGTGTAACACTGACGCCTTTTTGGCCGGTGGTCTTGTTGAGAATCACCACAACATCTGCCTGCGATAGGTATTTCTTCTGTGCGGCTTCCACTTTCCTGGATCAATGATTAGAACAGAACAATTGACTCTTTCTGAACACTGCTATCGATTGCATCGTCAACACCATCGCATACCTCCTTAAACATGTCTTTCCGAGAAGTACGAAGGATCCCAGTCACCAAAGGATGGGGTCCCTGCAAAAGAACTCACTGGGTACCGATCAGCGATTACGAGGCATATCAGACTCCTGACGGCTTCACCCATACGTCGCATTGGAGGGTGGGCGTCGATCCTTGGGCACTTGGGCTGCGAAGACCAGGAATATTTCTGGCAGAAGACGACATACGCTATGTGGGCTTCCGAGAGACTAGATCTGGGGGCCCTGGAGGACAGCGAATTCGGGATGGTCATTGGAGCCTCGGCGAGCTCAACGAGATTCTGGACGGAGTATACGCTCGAGACCAGCAGGAGTTCGAGGACCGGAGGGCGATCGAGGAACGTCGGACCGATGAATTTAGAAGGAGATGGCTCACACTCCACGAGCGTTGCGTTGGCACACAAGACCGGTTGACACAGCACATGGAGGACTATCAGAGCATCATGCAGATGCCTATCGCCAATGAAAGACTCACAAGTCTGCGGGCGGAGGCCGAGTCGTATGCTGAGAGAAGGAGACAGCGAGAGGAAGAACAACAGATTAGAGACCGACAGAGGGAGAGGGAGCTTCGCGACGCCGAGATTGGGCGAAGGACGCGCGAGGACTTGGCAGACTATGGATTCGTGCCCGTCACGCGGCGTCGAGGGCAACGATGAAGGAGTCTTTGGTGGTTTGTCTTTGTGGCATGGAACATTGAGCTTGGAGGGTGAGGTGGGCGAGAGGAAAGGTGGATGGGGAATCGTGGCAGGTGGCGTTGTGTGTATTCGCGGAAAGATTGTGTTAGAGACGTCGAGGCCCTTCATGAGCAAGATGAGTGAATGATGGATGAGAGAGGAAGGTGTCGGCGACGATGGCGGTGATGGTGGTGCTGGAGCAGTGAGAGCGTGAGTGAGTGGTCAACAGTGTCAATCAAGACTTGGATGGCGCAGGAAATGTCCGTTTTGGTGGGGCAGCCGCGATTCTCCGTCTCTCGCATTTCTATACGCGCTGCGCTGCTGCTGCTGCGATGCCGGCGTCGTATCGTAGGGCGCAGGCAACACAAACTTCAACAATCATACCATTGATGATTAGACTTTTCTCTCTGTTGTCGTTTTCTGTTCTAGATTTATTGTGAACGGATCCCTTGTCTTCCTGTCTTCCTCTCTCACTCACACTCAAGTCTACACCCAACATGGCTCCCAAACAAGTGGTAACGTCGGACAAAGGCCTCAAGTCCAACCTCTTCTCTCAGGCTACCATCCACAATGGTACCATCTTTGTCAGCGGAAACATTGGCATCGTTCCCTCTACGATGAAGATAGTAGAAGGGTCCGTTGCAGACAGGACGGTCAGGACCCTCGTGGACAAGGCGCTGCTGGTGCCATCTAGTCATTGACTAACACCAATTGCCTATAGAAACAAGCCCTCGAAAACATCCAGGCCATCCTGGAAGAAGCCGGAAGCAGCCTCGAACAGATTCTCAAGGTGTGTCCGCTTCCAGACTATGTACCGGGAGAAGCACTGACGAGGGGCAGATGAACATCTACTTGACAAGCATGGAGGATTATGCTGCCATGAACGAGGCCTGTGCGTGGTTCCCCAGCCTCGTCTCAACATTCCTGCCTGACCCAAAATAGTTGCCAAGTTCATTCCGGACCCAAAGCCAGCACGGACCTGTGTCTGCGTCAAGGAGCTCCCTTTTAAGACAGATGTAATGCTCCCCAACTGATCCATTCATGGGCTGAGGCTAACAGCAGCCAGGTTGAGATTGAGTGTATCGCAGCACTGTGAGGGGGCATGTAGGACACTGGCGATGCTGAACTCCTATCACTGACTGTTGCTCCAGGAGCGAGACTTCAGGGTCAAAGCTCTAGGTCGCGACTAAGCGATTTTGATTGAACCTGACCTTTGGACGACAGGCCTCTCTTCTTTGTCAAAGGATGTGTTTGCAGCAACGGACTTCGGGTTGTCGCATGCCCTGCCGCACCCTGGCTTTGGTCGAGCCGAGAACCAAAGCGACAGAAATTACAGTGACAATCTTCTCATAAAATAACAATGAAATCTTGGATGAAAACGGTGCTGATTCTTGCTTCCGCTTCCGGAACGGCCATGTTGCATGCTTTATACTCATTTCTCCCTCATATATTCCCACCCAACTCGTTTGACCTCTTTTGTTTCTGATGACCCGATACTTGTCCATTCCCCTTGAAAGATTACTGAGGAAAGGTGTCCACCATTATCACGCTACAGAGCTCGAGACTCCACCATGGCTCCACGCGCAAAGCCGACCACAACCCCAACTCGGAGAATGACAAGGCCATCAGCCATGAGAAGGACGCCTGCAGTGCCGTCGACTCCGGCTGCAAGCGCTTCTGCTGCTACAACCCAAGGGGCCACCGGCAACGCAAGAAATCCCAGAACAGCTCGCCGCAACAATACCACAGCGCCCCCGAATGTGGCAACAAGTTCGACACAGGTGGGAAGTACTCCGGCCAAAGCTGCCTCAGCCAAGATCAAGCCCAAAGCCACGCCAGCTAAGAAAACGCCTGCGACTATCAAACACACAAAGGAACCGCCAAATGCCGACAAGAAAGATGGTAAAGGAACCGGAGGCGCTGTATCACAGGGCACACCTAACAACACCGAGACATCAACAAACCCAGAAGATGGCGAAACAAGCAAGTCTCCGAGAGGCCAGATTGGATCTCTCGTCTCAAGTCCTCCCCCGGCGATAGTAATGACAACTCGAAAGCATGACAAAACCAAGGCCGGCAAGAGGAAACTAAAGCCTTTGGACGAACAGGCATATGTAGAAGAGGACGATTCAGAGGACGAGTTGTCAGCCGTATCAGCAGAGAAAATCGCACCAACGTCAACAGTGGCAGTCGAAGACGAGTCCTCCAGTGAAGAGGAAGAAATCAATGTGGCGCAAGTACGAAAATCCCGAGCGCGCAAACGAAAGACCAGACCGTTCGACGATCAGGCCTATAAGTCTGATGGAGATTCGGAGGACGATGACGACGAAGACCTTGACGATGATGTCCCCGGAGATCTACCACCCAATCCGCTCCAACGGATCCATCTCAAAGTCAATCGAGATAACCATGAGCGCCATATGCGAGAGCGTGCTGCGAGACGTACCCAAAGATCGTCTCCAACTTCTAGCTCCTCCTCAAGCTCTGGACCTTCGGAACCTCCTCGCACACCCAGGCCTGCACAGCACTCCCCAAGTCTGGTTTCGCAGCGAAGCACCGGACCCCGACCGAAGCGTCAACGAACCGCACCACCTACGGTCGTCAGTCCCTCAACACCCCGAAGCAGAACTTCCCAGCCAGGCGCTGTGGATCCCAATGACCCTGTGGTACTGGCGGAGCAACTATTTGCAGACGTCCAAAAGGTACCCAGGTCGCTGGATCTTGACGAGATTGGGGCGCTCTTCATGGTCTTACAAGAAAGGATCTCGCGTTTCTGCGGTGATCACTTCGCTTTCGGGCTTACATCAGAACAGGAGAAGGCGTGGCCCATGCATCTGTTGGCCACGAAATACTTGTCACTAATGCTGATGACCCAGAGGATCGCGGATGGGTGTGAGTACGGCTGGCGCAACTTTTTCACAAAACGGGAACACCGACGACATCTCGTACACGGCGTTATTGGCGAGTGGTTCCAGCAGCGCATCTTCAAGCACACCGCTTTCAGCATCCCGGACGACAAGGTTCGCGCACTCGAAGACATTGACCGCAGGTATCTCCACTACGATGCCTTTGTGCGGAACAAGAAGAAGGCAGAGTGCTTGGAGGAACTCAAGATCGGCGAGACCTATTTCCCAAGCGCAGAATTTCCCAACAATTACGAGCATATAGACAACCTAGAGATTGCCGCTCGGAAGATGGCTACCAATCTGCTGCTCGTTTTGGAGCCACTCCTCCCGCCTCCGTTCTTTGACCCTCTCGTGCCGAAATGGAGACAGTCGTCGAGAGTAAGGGACGAAGGAGCCGAGATGCGGTTTGGGATATGGCTCGAGCTTGTCGAGTTGATCAAGATGGCGGGCAGTCTGCATCTCTGCATTCGCTTCGCAGGTGTCAACGGCGTAGTCGTGCGCATCGCACCCCACGTGCCCAAGGGCACGAGATTGAATCGAGAAGATGTGGATAGAAATATCTGCGTCAATGCCTACCGGTTGAACGCGCAAAAAGCTCAGTCTCTTCCGACAAGTGATCAGTTGAAAATCAAGATGACCTGCTTTGGACGAGTCGAAGCTGTGGTACCGCATGGCCTCGATGTTCTCGAACTCGAACAAGCACAGGAGGCGGCGCGAGCAGCAGGGCAAGAGCTCACCCGGGAAGAAGCCGAACAGCGACTCTTCAATCTGTACCCGTACGACCTGCAAGAGACGGATGCCGCACGGGATGCCGTTGCAGACCTAGCATCGATTCCAGGGACGGAATGGTCGACCATGGTCCTCAAGACCAAAATTCGAGAAATTCGGGAGAAGAGATACGGACGTCGTCCGCAAGAAGACGAGAGAGCTGAACGGGCCGACCCCAAAAGCGGCGCATTCGTCACCGTCTACTCGAGAGTGGCTCCCTCCAACATCTACTGCGAATGGATGGCTGCTCAGGAGGCCTCGCTTTTCCCCTATCCAGAAGCCCAACCACCGGCTCAGACCCTGGCTGAAGCTGTCGCCGAAGCCCGGCGGGAGAAGTACATCTCGTGTTCCCTCGAGGACGCAGCCCTAGCGGTCTGGAGCACTGTTACGCAGCGCGAGTTTCTCGAATGGCTGTTGTTTTCCGGCAGCATAGCTGGCATCAGCGCTCTCGCAGCCCCGTGGATTAGGAGTACAATTGAGAGTCTCCACTTGGGAGACCGGTCGAGAGATCTGGGGACAGGCATTCAACTGCGTGCCACTCGTGCCCTGTCTGCCGCGGCGAACTGGCGAAGTGCTCTTCGAGACGCTTCGGCGTACGTATCGCAACTCGTCGTGCCATCTGCAAGCACCGTCACGGTCACATCTGTTGTAACGGACTGGGCGACGACAACGACAACGCAACCCACCAATGCGGGAGATCCGCCGTTAAAAGGAGTTTCTTTCACCTCTGTTACCCCTTCGGAGTCCTTCGTTGAAGACCTTCCCGAAGCCTTGAGAGGAGTTACGGACACGACGCGAATACCCATCCCACCGGACCATCCAGACTTTGCCATGGTCGCGAGCCTTTTCAGCGAGCAGATGGGCTTCGCCAGGGCTGAAACACTAAGCACGCCGCAGTCAGAACGCACGCCATCCTCGAGGATCAGTCGTTCCAAGGTTCTTTAATATACTGTGACCTTTAACAGTGGCGGGTAATGTGGAGAATCACAATGGAGCAGCAGACCAATAGGATTATGCATGTCGAGAAGGACATACTGGCGGCGTTCGAGGTGGTCAGAAGTAGATAATTGGTGATCACGGTCTGTTTTGAAGGGCAGGAGGATAGCATCAACGGCAAGACAAGGCTGGACAAATTGGGATATACAAACATGGGCGTTCTTTTCCTTATGTTCTTTTTGTTGGATACAGAACGTTCGCAGAGAAGAGAAAGGGAATCTACGAGAATGGAATAGTCTCATCAACCTGTTCTTCTTTTCAAACCATCATAATTTGAGGCAAACACTAGTTAATCAATGTGAACACATTTTCTCTCTTTCAAAAGCATCTCAAGCCTTGCGCAGTCCCACAAGTCGTATCATGATCTGAACAGTCCAGCTCGTAGCCCATCTGAAATACAGGTACATACCTTCCGCGGACCTCGAACCAGCTCCTTGTTTCACCATCACCGGCCACAGTAGGTTTCGTAGATATCCTGGCAGTAAGAATGTAGTAGGGTTTCCAACAACAAGGGAAACATTTCTCTCGGTGTTTTCTTTTCGCTTGGACTCAGTAGAAGCAGACACTTCAATAAGGAAAAGGGCGACAAAATCCCCGTCGCTGCTTGGTTGCGGTTAGCTCCTTTAACGTGTATTCCGATTCTTGATATGGCCAGAGCGCACGCAATTGACTGACTCCTTTGGCCGTCCATGTCGTCCCCTTTCGCTGAACCCTAGCCACTTCACTTCCTCATTGTCTCGGGCTCAATCAGACCCCTAACCAGACCTTCCACCTGTCCAATCTCCTTCAAACATTTCAACCATGCACACTCCGCGTGGCTCGCCTCCATCCTGGCCTTCTCCATTGCCTTTTCCGCGTCTCTGGCAGAGCCAACGACTTCAACCATGCACTTTGAGAGTTGGATAAGGTGTGCCTTGCGGTTAGGGTCAGCCGAGGTGCGCGCGAGATCTAGGAGAGAGTGGGTCATGCTTGTCGTGGCAGCTAGTGTCTGTGGAATGGTTGGCGATAAAGTTGCTGGCGATCGTGCTTGTGGATGGGCGTGAAGGGTGGGAGAGACCATCTTGTTTATCGTTGGGTTAGCGGCAACTGCACTGCTTGGGAGAGGCGAACTTGGATACATTGATGTGTTGAGGTTTGCCGTGAAAGGGGTAGTCGGGCTAATCAACGGATTCTTCCGCTTCGGTGCTCTTGAGTCCGTGCGACCGAGCTCAAGGCGTGGTTCTGTCGCCTGGTTTCCGTAAGGGAAGCGTGGATAGTCGGAATTCGGTAGGCCAGATTGAGTCAACTTCGGGCTAACTTGTCCTGGTTGCCCCCTGCCGCTAGCATTCACTTGAAGTGGTGGACTCGCCCTCTTATCATCCGCATCTGCTGACGTTGAAGCTGGAACTGGTTTGCGTCGTAGAGATCCGGGCGCACCAGCTGGCCTACCTGGCTGCGAGGTCACCTCTTCCGACACGGTGGTGGTCTCAACGACAGCCGTTGTTGCTTTATTCGATTCCACCGACCTCTTGTGGAACAGACCTCGAATATTGGAGATGACTTTCTTCTTGCTGGAACTCGAGGGACTATGTGCTAGCACGTGTGATATCTTCCGTCCCTTGACGGAGTCAGTGCGGGGAGAGATGCTCTGCGAAAAGGTCTTTACATTGCGTGGCTTTTTAATGTTATCCTGGCTAACCGCGTATGCTTTTGGTGCTCGCTGCGGGAGGAAGCTGATTGCAGGAAGGTGACGCTCAGGTGGAGAGACAATGATTGGAGGTGGTTTGGGCTTCCGTGACGAAGTACGTGGTGGAAAAGGGGTAGTACTTTGAGGCCCCGAAATTATTGCCGCCTCGTCATGTGTCGCTTTCGCGAGATCGTTGACGAGTTTCTCCTGTTTGGCTTGCTCTTGTCCAAGGTCCTGGAATAAGAAAGGTGCTGTTTCTTTATTCGGGGCGGTACGCAAGACAATGGTAGGTGGCCGGGACAATGAGCTGGGTGTAGGACGTTTCGTGACGAGTCCACCAGTCGCACTGCTGGAGGTGTTTTCCTTCTGTTTCGCGGCAATAGCATCATGGCCAGAGCGCGGTTCGAAACTTGCAAAGTCTTTGCAGGGCCAGTCACTCTGAATAGAGGTTGGAGTTGTCTGGGAAACAACGGCCTGCTTGTTCCCTTCTGTGCCACTGAGGTCCATGTGGGAGCCTAGGAGCAAGCCATGTTCAGTATCGATGTTATTACCAGGTAGCTCTGCTCGCACAACGGTGTCCACAGAGCTATCCTCACCAATGAGATTCCGAGTCTCGTCTTGGTCTGCATGTTTCAGCTGGTTTGAGGGCCGATCTGCGAGGTTTCTCACAAGAGACATCGAGCGGCCGAAGATGGCGCTGGATCGTCTGATCTGGTCTTTTGCCATGCGTGGAGAGCCAATATCAGGAGCGCTTCCCTTGTGTCTCAAAGCAGACTTGGGACTTCTCTTGTTCAATGTGTTTTTGTCGTCTTGGCCCAGCAGCACTCGACTTGCAGAGTCTGTGATGCGAAGAGTCGGACCCATCCTAGACCCATTCAGAATACGTCGGACTCGATAGCCTCCAAAAGAATCGTAGCCATGGATGCTGACTCCTGACTCCCCATCACTATCAACGAAGGACTCGTCATCGCGAGGAGCCGTTGTGGATAACACTTCTTTGACGTCCATAAGTTTGCCTTGATCTTTAGGGGTAGCTCGAGAAAGATCGTTGTTCTGGTTGACTCCATTGATGGCAAATACTTTCACAAGATGACTTGGGACGTCATCCGCCACGGGATGTTTGCCTGCCATGGAATTCATGAACGGCTCTGAAGGAGCGGTTTGGCGCAGGATCCCTTCGATGCTTTCGTCCAATGATGGACGTGTAAGTCGAGTCGGCAAAGGAAGGGAACTCTTGCGACTCATTTCTCTCGCTGAAGGCTGCTGATGTGTGGCTCCATGCTGGGCAAGATCGAGACCTTGACTGGTGGCTGGACTGCGAAATTTTCTTCGCTCAGTGCATGTCCCAGCTCTTGTCGCTGACTTTTGAACCGACTTTGAGCGGGAAGGTATGGTGTATGGGGAGCCTCGCCCTGTGACCCCGTAACGACCACGAGAATTTGTACGGATCGGGCCTCCAGGAAAAGACTGCTTGGAACGTGAAAAAGAGGCAGATTCAGCCCTCTCAGAATCAGAAGGAACATGAGTACTACTTTCTGGCTTCTTTGCAACGGATGCTGCGATCGTTTTTGCCTGATGAAGTCTCAGGGCTGAGGTCTTGTTTTGACGGGGTACAGGGGAGTCGACATGGCGAGACAATGACCGAAGCAGAGATTCACGAGGTTTTGGTAGCTGGCTTGATGAGAGAGGACGACCAATACCGTCAGCCGTGACTGGGGCATCGGTCTCTCGAATACCATCTGACATCGCTTCGAGATCGCTGGTGGCAGCAACATTCCCTTCGAATTTGACGTTGTATTCTGCTTGACCAATCTTCCCCTTGTCGTCCTGCAAATCCAGTGTCCGCATGCCTTCATACAGACTGTCGCTCAGACTTGGTTTGATACGAGACTGGCTTGACCCCGATGGAATTGTGCCAGCCTTGGTTGGTTCAATCGCAGGCCAATCTTCTTGTTGCGGAAGTCCGCCCCCAGGAGGGGTCAGAGATCGACGAAGAGGTCTTTCAGTACAGTCGATAAGTGACCTACGAACAGGTGATTTGGACTTGACAGTTGCAACAGGAAGGCTCGGGAGTGGTTTTTCTGGAGGACTTTGATGGCATGGTTGGCTCAGAGGAGCGGGAACAGGTGAGCGAGAACTCCCGGACAAGTTGTGCGCGTGTGCCTATGCTGTATATTAGCATTTCAACGGAGGAGACAGTTCGCTACCCTAATTACGTGAAGTCTTTTTGTTGATGACGCCCCAGTCGCGGGGGTAGGATTCGCGCTCATGACCCTTTCCCGTGAAAAGCTCGACTCAAGTCGCAGTTTCGACAAACCCAAATGTTTAGAGGCGCTATTAACCCAAGATCTCTTCCGCGGTTCACCATCCAGAGTATTTGGGGTCACAGGCGATACATTCGAATGTGCTGATCTCAACCTCGGTTTCAATGGGACGAGTTGAGGAGGGCAAGAATGTGGCGAAGATGGAGCGACAGAGCGACGACCAGGCGTTGGGGTGTCTCGAGTTCGAAGGCCCGTTGGCATTCTCGAGACAACGATGTTGTCCTTGTTGCACGGGCGCCGGTCACTTCTCAGAGACATGACCTAAGAATAAAAGGTCCTTAGGCCATGTAGACGCAAACTGGTTCTGAAAATGTAAATCTCATGATAGTGAAGGTCGTCCCGTTGTTTGGAGGGGGTGCGGCAGCCTAAGATGGTTTCCTACTGAGTGAAGTGCCTTGCCTCCGTGTGATTGAAATGGTAATCACAATTCTTCCCTTATTGAAACCTCTCGCTTTTATCCAATAACACCAACTGGAAGCCCATGCCTTCTTCGGCCTCCATGAATTACTACTGGCCTTGGATGAGGATTCGAGATAGGTGGGGTCGACGAGAATTTCATTTTCGTTGCATCCTCAGCGGTCAAGAATGAGGCTTGTGCTAGTCATTCTCATCTTCTCCTTGATAGTTTGCCTGCTGGGAGTCGCCAGCTTCTTTCTTCTGCTTACCGGCCTCGTACTGCTCCATGTTTCTTGCCCTCCACTTCGGACCACCAAAATCATCCTCCCTCAGCCTCTCACCGTCCTCAATCGCGATGCCTTGTTTTTGAGCCTGCTCTTCGAGTCTACGTTGTTCCAGGATCATGCTTCTCAAAAATTCAGTGGTTTTCCCCAGCATGATTTGCTCGCTCCTTTCATGGCCCAGAGCTCCCGGGACGAGTTGTGAGAGTTCGGTAAAGCGTTCGCGGATGGCTGTGCGTCGCTTGTTCTCGGCATCTTTGTGGTTGAAGTTCTTCTGCGATGCTGTCAGACGAGGCTTCGAAACCTTGTTCGCCTTTTTTGCTGAGCCGGACTTGGAAGTGTTTGGCTGGGTGTCAGAAGCCGGAGTAGATTCTCGAGACGATGTATTTGACTCGCTCCCCTCTTCTTTTGACATGATGATGGGACGGATTTCGTTGAAGATGGATTGAGAGAAAGAAAAAGAACAAACGAATGGCAGGAACCCCTTTCTGGGTAACCCTGGGTTGGTGACCTGCCAACAAGTCTCAGCTGCCCCTCGACATTGTGGGCAGCGAGACCCTGCTGTTGATAGATGGCAAGGAGGTATTGATGGACGATTGATATATCCGCCGGCAAAGTCCAAGGCGAAGGAGCTGAAGGCAGAAATAGTCTTCGGTTTTCTCACGGCATTGACCAGTCGTTGGTGATTTGGCTCGCCATTTCCGTTTTGGGTCTAGGGTGAGCGAACGGAGATAACCCCACCTGCAGCTAGCAAAATCCGCGCATGTTCTGGAACTCTGATGGCATTTCCTTTCCGTTCTTTTCCAGATCGGCCGCAGTATTCTGGTGACCATTCTTCCATCTGTTCTACGGAGAGGGGTGCTATATCTTGAGCTTCATTATCTTTTTCATTGCCCCAGTCCAAGACACCTCTCATTTACCTAGCAACTTCTGCGTAGCGGGATCATACGAAGTATGAGCAGAATCCGACCCCTCCAGGGTGCCTGCAACTGCGGCCGCAATCACTACTATATCACAGCTCCGCCCGATGCTACAGAACAAGCGCTGATTTACTTTGACGATAGCAGCCAAAGCAGTAAGTTCACTCCGACCCCAATTCGTATCCACCACTCTAATTTCGATGTCTCCGTCAGGACGAAGTCAAGCAACCCCGCTAACGGCGTGGCTCCGGGTTCCGTTGTCCTGGTACTCATCAACCACACAGTCATTCTTCCCTGACGAAACCCATGCCTCTATTCGAAGAACCTTTACACCCTTGCATACACCACACTCTCAGCGGGTGTTCTGCGGCTATTGCGGCACGCACCTGTCCTACTGGACTGAACAACCGCCAGAAGAGGCAGAGTACATGAATATCACTTTAGGAAGTTTGTTGAGCGAGGACCTGCGCGCACTACAAGACTTGGACCTGTTGCCCGAGGATGTAGAAACAGAAACACCCGCAGATGATGGGCAACAATTCACAATGTCCGGGGCGCTGCAGCAGGGCGATGAGGATATGGCGCAAGGTGCTGTTACTCCGCGAGAGAACCAACCACTGACTCGGACACATCGAAGTGGTCGAACAGGAGGGCTAACTTGGTTTGAAGAGATGCTGGCGGGAAGCCGACTGGGCCGAACGCAAAACACAAGACGCGGAGTTGGAATCAGCAATGACGGTTTGACTCGGGTGGAGTGGGAAGTGTCGGAATATTTTGACGATGGCAGCGAAGAGCCGATTCAGACAGCTACGGGCTCGAAGCGAAAGATCGGGGATGTGGGCAGAGACGAGGACGCTGCCATGCAGCATTGAACGCAAGGACTCCGCAAACGAACATAGCATATATCTGACAGATCAGAAAGCGACTGGCACATCGCATAGCGCTGGAGTTCTCGCGGTCGGACCTTGAAGATAGGACGAAATGAGCAAGCAAATAGAGGACTCCAAAAAGCTCAAGTGATCGGCCGTGCAATGTATAGCGACACAAAGGAACCAAAAAGTAGATCATGGTAATAAACAATATCGACATCATCCTTGATAACCATCCCAGTACAAAGATGTTTATTTGGGGGTATCAACATTCTCTTCAGCTTCGGCTTGCCCCCTTCTACGCTGACCCATTCCCCTCCCCAGTTTCTGTTCCAGTGATTTGCTTCCACCCGCCTCTCATGGCTTCTGGCAACGTGCTCACCTTTTCGTTGGATAGCTCCTCTGGTGTGCTTGAGCGCGCAAATTTGTCATCGGGGAGCTCTTTAAGCCCGACGATTAAATGTGTCTGCTAGAGCATCTTTCCACGAGCGCTTGGGGACCAGGGTCGCGCCGACAGCTTCAAACTCGGAGTCGTCGAAGATCCATTCCGGGCTGCGCTCGACGTTGACTTTGTAGCCAGCATTCAGCAGTGCTTTGGTAATGCTGTGTCTTACTGTGGGAAAAGTCAACCACTAACCATGTTGTGTCAAGCACTCAATGTAGAGGGAAGACTATGCGGCCATGAAATCACGGCTGAGAGAACAGAAGAAGCTCTCCACAGAAATAATATTCCGGTGTTCAAGTTATGAGTCAAGCATTCCCGCCCAGTTGAAAAGGTGTAGAAATGGCGGAGACACCTGAAACTTTTTCTGCCACCGCCGAAGCCTCGTACCTGACGCATGTCCCATCCTCTCCAAAGGCGACACGCAATTGAGATTTGGTTTGCACCAAAACCAAGAGAGAAGCTAAGATGTCTGAGGCCCTGAAAAACAGCGTCCCGACAGACAATCCCCCTTCCTACGAAACTCTCTCCGTCCCTCCTCCAACAGGCATACATACAGGTACAGCGCCTCCGTCAGGTCGCCGCCCCCTCCGTCCTCCGCCATCCCTAGAACTCCCCGCCCTGAACCTTCTGCGAAACAAGCGCATCATTCTCGCATCCCAATCTCCTCGCCGGAAGCAACTCCTAGGTCAAATCGGACTGCATAATGTCGAGATAATCCCCTCGAAATTTGAAGAGAACCTACCAAAGACACTGTCCCCATTCGAGTACGTCCTGGCTACTGCGACGCAAAAGGCATTGGCAGTATATAAACAGGAGGTGGACAATGAAGCCAAAGGCGAACCAGGATTGATCATTGCAGCAGATACGATTGTTGTGAGTTCACTGGGAGAGATTTTGGAAAAACCGACAAGTGAGGCCCATCACATCGCTATGCTGAAAGGCCTGAGGGATTTGGGGATACATAAAGTCTACACTGCCGTGTGCGTGGTCGCTCCCCTCGAAAGTGCAAGAGATCCCGGATACGCCATCGAGACTTCCACCGAGGAAACTACCGTCAAATTCGACTCGGAAGTGACGGACGAATTGCTTTTGGCATATGTAAGGACCAGAGAAGGAGCGGACAAAGCGGGCGGATATGGGATACAAGGCACCGGAGCAATTTTGGTGGAGAAGATAGATGGCAGTTTTGATAATGTGGTTGGCCTCCCGCTAAGGACAACATTGAAGTTGATTGAGAAGGTCATGCAGAAGGCGGAGGATGACGATATCTTGGATGGCGAGGGCGAGGACCTGCTTGAGGATGAGTGACGATATGTTTGTCGCGGAACCCAAATCGAATTCAGTGTCAGCGGCGTCCGGCGATAGCTCCTTGGGTCATGGTCAGTGTATAGAGAAGCCTACCGAGGACGGGATCCTTGGTAGACATTGTATGGCTTGTAAAACTCATGTTTGTCAGAATGCATCATGTACATGGAGACTCCCGGTCCATTCCCCGTGCGACAATTGTACCACTGTTTATTTCAGATTCTTGAGCTTTCCATCATGACCCAAGCTTGATGTATCAGCCTTGCCAATCGTGGCATCATTCGCACCTGCATGCCATATTCTTTTCATTGCCTCGACCACACCAACATCGTTCGTCTCGAATTCGTAGAATCCCACCGCAACAACAAGCGTAGCCACGTTCAACAACCACATGAAAGTTCGGCGCATGGTCGGATGACGGCGGATAGGAATGTAATCGATGATCATTGATCTGGAGAAGTTTCAGTGTTTTGCCATTGGTGGGGTGATACATTGGTGAGTCTGGTGTAAACTCGATACTTACTGGAAACCCGCGTGTGAGTGGATCAAAATGGTAAAGATCAAAGCCGCATCCAGCATCGGACTGACCGAACCAGCAGCAAAAGGTGTAATGGTCAAGGGAACCAAGCCCACCGACAGTATTCGTTCAAAGGTCCAGTGATAGCTTCCATGGAGGGGATCGGGCTTCGGTACAGGTGCAGGGTCATTGACTCCTCCTTGGATGACCTGCGGACCGGGCGGTAGGATCTTCCTTTGCGCGGTTGAGGAGAAGGGCGCAATCTGGGAAGCAATGGACAGCCGTGGGGAAAGAAAGTGTCGTGTTGAAGACTTTAGAGGAGCTGGTCGGAAGGGTCGAAGTGGTTGGGTAGTGCTCGAGAACAGTCTCTTGGACGTCGATAGGAGTTGTGTTTGTCGCAGCATGGCTGTTCTCGAAACCGCCGCCATTTCCCTAACACGATCAATGGATGGTCTGGTGAAGGTGGTCGTCGAGAGGCATGAGGTCAAAGAGAATCAATGGTCAGTCGCATGCTGCGATGGGATGTTGCTCGGCTGCCAAGAAGCTTGCTTCCGGGCCAATCAGGAGCTCTGCATTTAATATAACAAGCCCGACAGCTTCTCACCAACTCCCACCTTCACTCAATCCACCTATACCTTTCGGTGTGAACGATTACGACGGCTATCAATCCCTCATACGGGGCAATCTATTCTTGAAAATATGTCATGCAGATCTGATAAGACCGACCTGGTCAGTTTGCTATGTTTTGGTCTCATTGACTTACCTCCCCAGCACATTGTGGCATTGTACGGAGCACAGACTCCCTTGTATCGCTAGACTCACTCAGGACTACGCACTTGGTTGCAGGATGATTATGTGCGTGCAACGGAAAGCGTTTGGCCTTCCCACTATCTCCAAAACCAACAGCCTCGTGAGCATCAGATTTGGAGCATCACGCCATGCGGGGTTCGGCCGAGGGAAAACCATTGCCAACAAGTCGGGTTCGAGATGCTGACTGGTGGACTGGTCAATCAATCCTCAGGGATGTCCCCTCTAATGCCCATCGGATCCTCTGATATACGTGTGCTTACCGCATTGTATCGTACAGCCTTATATAACCTAGGTTAGCGGAAACGGTTTGGTTATATTCGTCTCCCCCAACGCATCTTCTGTTCGCTTCTTCACCACTTTGTGTTTGTGTCTGCCTGGTTGATTTGCTTGCCTCCAACATGGCTAACGACAGGGTCGTGCTCATTTCTGCTGCACCGACGGAAGACGTTACTGTCCCCTCGGATGCACCCCACGAAAACAGTTGGTACAATGGGAGAGATTTTGACGGCTACCGAGTTACCGAGCAGTTGCTTTTTCAGAGACGCAAGATTCGTGTCATCTGTGTTGGGGCCGGAGCGACGGGCCTTCAGTTTGCGTACAAAGCAGAACGTGCCTTGAAAGACGTGGAACTTCAGATCTATGAAAAGAACAGCGACATCGGTGGAACCTGGCTGGAAAACCGATATCCTGGGTGTACGTGCGACATTCCCTCCCATTCTTATCAGTTTACGTGGGCAAAGAACCCCAATTGGTCAAGATTCTACTCTGGATCGGAGGAAATATGGCAATATCTCAAGGATGTTGCAACGAAGTATGACCTAGAGAAATACGTCCAATTCAAGACGACTGTCGAGTCTGCTACTTGGGACGAAGAGTCTGGGTTGTGGAGATTGCGTATTCTTGCTCCAGACGGCTCATATTTCGAGGATACTTGCAACATCCTCGTCAATGGTTCAGGGGTCCTCAAGTGAGCGAAATCCCATCCTCGCCCATAAGCAACCATGTCAAGCTAACACGGGTCGTCAGTGAGTGGAAATGGCCCAAAATTCCAGGCCTTGATTTATTCAAAGGAAAGCTCATGCACTCGGCAAAATGGGACGGCGACTATGATCTGAAAGGGAAGACTGTCGCTGTAATTGGCGGCGGATCGTCTGCAGTACAAATCATTCCCTCAATACAACCAAGTAAATGGCTCTCACATACCAGCACGGTCTGAATCTTGGTTTGCTGACATCGTCCATAGCTGTCGGGAAGATGTATGCTTTCTTGAGATCACCTGTCTGGATAACGACTGGCTTCGGTGCCAAGTACGCTGGTCCCGGTGGGACTAATTTCTCCTGTAGGGCTTCCGCTCAGAAAATATGACTGTAACTGACTGCCGCAGACTCTGAAGAACAAAAGGAAGAATGGAGGAAACACCCAGACAAACATGCACAGTACTGCCGCGATGTTGAAGGCGAACTCAACAAGAGATTTACGCTGGTAAGTCCACGCACTGTTGCCGAGCCATCTCATTGCCCTGACCTGATGTTAGATGCATCTCAAAGCCAAAGATCAGAAAGTGTCCCGAGATCTGGTGGCAGACATCATGAAGGAACAGCTTGGCCATGATGAGTCTCTCACCAAACACATGATACCACCGTTTGCTCTTGGCTGCAGGAGAATGACTCCTGGATCTGGCTATCTACAGTCTTTGAGAGCAGATAATGTAGAAGTGATCCCGACGTCAGCTACAAGATTGACAGAAACCGGTATTGTGGGCGAAGATGGGGTTGAGCACCAGGTCGACGTGGTGATCTGTGCAACAGGCTTCGACACCTCCTTTACGCCGCACTTCAAGGTCCATGGTCGGAACAATGCAGAGATCCATGAGCAGTTTGGTGACTTTCCCATCGGATACATGGGCATTGCGGCTGAAAACTTTCCCAACCTGTTCCTTCTAATAGGCCCCAACGGACCGGCATCGCACTCTAGCATCCTTCCAATCCTGGAATGGTACACCCGATACATCTTTCAGGTCATTGAAAAGATCCAAACGGAGCGCATCAAGGCTGTGGAACCCAAGAAGGAAGCCATCAAGGATCTATACAACCATACCCACGAGTTGATGAAGCGACTGGTCTGGTCGTCTGCCTGTCGATCGTGGTTCAAAAACGGCAAAACACACGGTCCAGTGACAGCCATTTACCCAGGTAGCCGACTACATTTTTTCGAGATTATGAAGAATGTTAGATGGGAGGATTACAACATCACATACATGTCGGAGAACAGATATGCATTCATGGGCAACGGCTATACACAGACTGAGGTGGACCCTGAGGGAGATCCTGTCTGGTATTTCGACGACCCGTTCACCAAGATCTAGAGCTGTTATTTTTTTGGTCAGAGAATTAGGACAGATAGAATGCGAGCGAATTCGAGCAGCCAAGGGATCAAGGAAAAACGTTGGCCTCAGAGGGATAATACCAGTAAGAGTAAGGATCGTAGACCGTTCATTGGACCCGGAGTCTTACCGCAGTCCGCGTGGCCATACCCAAAGGGTGGTACGAACGTGACATTGGCGTGTTGGCGTTGTAGTCTTGTTTGTCTCTTTGTAGGAACGATGACGGCAAGAAGAGGAAGGCCGACGGCGCTGTGCCCCGAAGAGCACGTCCCATCCTTGGGGCTGGCCAGCGGCGGGCTGTGGGGGTTGGCTGCACTCTGGAGTGGACATCCTAGCGGCCTTTACACCCTGTGCTAGGTGTGCCAGGCATGTACCTAGGCTAGTGGCTAGGTAGTGCTTCGCTCTTCTAGCCTACGATTACCTCCGTGATTGAACCAGAAGGTTTCTAGCCCACCAGTGCCCACCAGCCTAGGCTTCTCACCTATTTTCTCGTCCTTGCAGGGTCCTCTGTACAAAGGGCGGCTCACCGTCCCGCCCTTGTCCGCCCTGTAGGCATGCCACCACCCTCCTATGAGGATGTTCAAGTATGATTGACGCCAGCTGACTAACTCGGTGGCGGTCTAGTCCTCTTGTAATAGTTGCCCGCCAATGGACCTCTATTCTCCGCCATTATAATCGCTGTCGACTCATTCAATCTTCTGTACGAGCCCAAGCATTGCTTCAAGGCGCGACGCTGCTGTGTAGTGTTCAGTGAAGGACCATCGCAATCGCAGGCAACTCTACATTTTTGCCGGCCTTCCTCAACTGTTATCATCTCCTATTTCACATTCCCCTGCTTTCATATCGTCGTTCGCCCTCGAGGAAAATGTCGAAGCGGAGTTGGCAAGAGGCCGAACTGCCTCCCCACGTTCTGCTCCGGGTCCGAGCCCGCACAGAGCGACCTCGACGACGTCTCCCCATACATATACCTCTCCAGCACAGACCACCTCGCCCAAGAAACCTCGTAATTCGTTTGATGAGCCCAGTCTCATTGCCAAAGCCCCGTCCCGTCCGCAAAGGACCAATTCCAACACCAATGGAGCCGCCGCGGACGCCAAATTGCCTGGGATCTCGAGGAAGGTCAAGGCATGCGCTGCGTGCCGCAAGCAAAAAGTAGGGCTTATACACGTTCTTTCCAGGTCAAGATAGCTGAACAGATATATCATGCAGATCAAGTGTATCATGATTGGCGACCCGCCGTGTCAACGATGCAAAGAACGGGGACTGTCTTGTCGCCTCAATAAGAGCTTACAAACCCTCATGTCGGAAGATTCGAAATGGAAAGCTGCCGTCACAAAGGATGTCACTGCTCTTTACGCGGCCGTCGAGGAGATCGTGCGAACGCTCCAGCTGCCATCTCTGCCGCAGATGCTCGTCTCTACGCAAGATCCTGCTATTTTCTTCGACCAGGAGGAACAGGGCAATGACCCTGATGACGAGGACCAGTCATTTGACAATTCGCCCAAGGTGACCCCCGTCGCTGACAATCTGTCACACGTACCTATTGAGTCGCTATATCAAATCACCGGGATGCGGTCGCTAAGAGCTTCTGAGAATATCACTGAAGATCAGTCGCGAATATGCAAGCAATTGCGAGATACTGACTTCATTGCAAGAGGGCTGATGAAGCAAGAAGACGCAGAGCATCTGGCCAACTACTATCTAAGCAAGCTTGATCCCTATATTTGGCACATATGTCCCGACTACACGGATTTGGAGTCCTTCCGACGTCGATCACCCACTCTGACCGCGTGTGTTCTCACTGTGGCTGCCCTTCACGACACTAAGCTGGGTCACCTCTACCCCATTTGCAGCAAAGAATACAGGAGATTGGTTGCCAACGCCATGTTCGAACGGAAAATTGACATGGAGTATCTGCGAGCCTTGGTTCTTGGATCGTACTGGCTGAGCGACATCTCATGGACATTATCTGGTTATGCCATTCGCCGTGCCAGCGAATTTCATCTTCGACAGTACTACCACGAAATATCAGAGTCGGTCAAATCGCCTGAAAAGGCTGACCCGGCAAAACTGCAGGAAGCCATGGATGGTATCAGAGTCCTTTACCTGCTCTACATATGCGATCACCACCTTTCAATCCTTTACGGCCGCTCATCTATCATGCGTGACAATGAAAGCTATATTACTGGGTGGGAGGCGTACCTGGCTTGCTCACTTTCCACAGACGCCGACCGCAGAATTGCCGGGCAGATATGCTTGATGTACCTGATGAACCAAATACGTGAGACATTGGGCCCCGAAGATACAAGCTCGGTATTGCCAGTCTCTGCTCTTACCAAGATTGCTGGCTTTGAGCGTGACCTGGATGACTGGATCGCCCGGTTTTCACGGCACAGTAAGTAAAGCGGAGATGCGATATTCCTTGATCTATGCTTACCACTGTTCCAGATCCAAGCCAGTACATTGGCAACTGGCCCAACAAGGGTGCAGTCATGCATTACCACTGGGCCAAGCTCTATCTACAGTCATATGTCCTCCGAGGACTACCTGAGTCCGGGGCTGTTATCCCCGAACACTTCTTGGAGAATGCTTCGGCCGCGGTCGCTGCCGCAACTGCCATCATCAATCTCCTTTTGGACGATAAAGACGCCCAAATAGCTATTGCCTATGTTCCGCATCATATCCACGGCATGATTGCATTTGCGTGCATGTTCCTCTTGAAAATCGCGACAAAGCACAGCGAGCAGTTGTTCTTGGACACCGTTCGCTTCCAGAAGCTCATTAATGCATTAGCACAACATTTCAAGTCGACAGACGTCGGCAAAGATCACTTGATTCACAGAATGGCCGAAGGACTCGAGAAGATGGCAGAGAGCTTGGGAGGACCAGCACGGTCCAAGAACCGCGTCAAGGCCAACGGAGAGCGTTCGAGTCAGCCATTAGCATCCCCCAGTCAAGCGGTCGATGCGACAGTGAACCTAGGGAGAATCACTAATGGGCAATCGGATGTGCCTGACTATGGCTCACTGGATCCCACTGCCTTTGATTTCGGAGATCCGGCATTGGGGCTGGGCATGCCGTTCTTCGATTTCGAGGGAACAACACTGGATGCAGGACAGGCCATGTGGAATTTTACGTAGGCGCATGTTAGTAGTATGATGAAGCTGAGATGTTGACTTGCAAAGCAAATGCAGAGTAAAACTTGATATCCTCGTCCTGTACTCCGACAGATGCTTTTTACTGCTTATTCCGACTGACCAATCAGCTGTCGGGTAAAGAATCCTCTCCCGATTCGGTATAGCGCCTCTTCTGGGAAGATCTGAAGCTCCAGAAACTCCAAGTCGCTTGCGTTCAAAAGCTCATTTCTACCACGACACACAGCTGCCACCGCGCTCTCTCTCTTGATACACTCTCCGAAATGGCGTCTCAGCGGCTGGCGCTGAATCTTCAGCGGTCCCTTCGAAGCAGACAAGCTCTCAAAGCCATCCAGTCTCCCCTTCGCCGCTACGCCAACCCTGTCACTCCCTCCAGAACTGAAAGCACCACTCTTTCAAATGGCCTGACGGTACAACCCTCTCGATTTCTGCTGCCCCAGGGGACTGAGGTGACTGACTGGAGGTTTTAGATTGCGACCGAGCATTCGCCATGGGCTCAGACCTCGACTGTCGGTGTTTGGATTGATGCCGGGAGCAGAGCGGAAACAGACAAGACCAATGGAACTGCGCATTTCTTAGAACATCTGGCTTTCAAGGTGAGCGAATGGAATCCTTCTACTCAGATGCAGGGGTTAACCGATTTTGTAGGGCACTGGCAGACGAACCCAACATCAACTAGAGCTCGAGATCGAGAATATGGGTGGCCACCTCAACGCATATACTTCGGTAAGTCGGATTGCCATCCATCTTGAATCTGCTGCTCAATAAAAGGGCAGCGTGAAAATACCGTCTACTATGCCAAATCCTTCAACTCCGATGTTCCCAAGACCGTCGACATTCTGTCCGATATTCTACAAAACTCGAAACTCGAGCCTGCGGCCATCGAGCGCGAAAGAGATGTCATTCTCCGCGAGCAAGAGGAAGTTGACAAACAATTGGAAGAAGTGGTGTTTGATCATTTGCATGCAACAGCTTATATGCACCAGCCTCTCGGCCGCACCATCCTAGGACCTAAGGAAAACATTGAGACCATCTCCCGACAGGATCTCGTGGATTATATCACCACCAACTACACTGCTGACCGCATGGTCCTCGTCGGTGCAGGTGGCATTCCCCACGAGGAACTGGTCAAGCTCGCTGAGAAACATTTCGGACATCTGAGATCCGCTCCGCCGACATCTTATGCTGCCGAAGTTGCCGCTGAGCAGAAGCGTAAACCCTCTTTCATCGGCTCTGAGGTCAGGATAAGAGACGACACAATCCCCACTGCGCACATCGCCATTGCCGTTGAGGGTGTTTCATGGAAAGACGATGAATATTTCCCCGCTCTGGTCACCCAGGCTATTGTCGGGAACTGGGATCGGACGATGGGCAACTCTCCTTACCTTGGCTCAAGACTCAGCACATTTGTGAATGCGAACAACTTGGCCAACAGCTTCATGAGTTTCTCCACGAGTTATAGTGATACTGGGTGAGTTATTTCTCTGCGTCGAAAAACCAATTCTGTTACTCCTATCGCAAAACAGAACACTGACCGTGGCCGTGATATGATTGATACAGACTCTGGGGAATCTACCTCGTTTCCGAAAACAAGACGCAAATTGACGATCTGGTCCACTTTACCCTACGCGAGTGGTCTCGCCTCTCCTTCAACGTCACTGAAGCAGAGACCGAACGCGCCAAAGCCCAACTTAAGGCCTCCATCCTCTTGAGTCTTGATGGTACGACGGCCGTTGCAGAGGACATTGGACGACAAATCGTCACGACCGGCAGGAGAATGGATCCCGCCGAGATTGAGCGTGTCATTGGCCAGATCACGGCCAAAGATGTGATGCGGTTTTGCCAGAAGAAGCTTTGGGACCAGGATATTGCGATCAGTGCGGTGGGCAGTATCGAAGGCTTGTTGGATTATAACCGTATTCGAAACGACATGGCACGGAACTTTTCATAGGGGCACAAGGAGAGGGAGTAGACAAGGAGGCGTGTTGGACTTGGAGGAGCGAGGGGGGTTTGAGACCCCAGAGAAATAGGCGAGAAGTGTCTTGAGGAAGATCTTCTGACCCTTCTGACCCAAGGTCAGCTAGTGATCTGGAACTTCTAGAGGGCTAGGTAGTGATTTGTATTGTACAGTGCACAAGGCAGAATCTGCACACACAGAGAGGCCAAAAAAGGGAGACCGTCAACTTGAAGCAGATGCGGACTTATCGAACTCGTGATTTTGATCTTCTTGGGCACGTCCAGGATGGCAGGATGTTGTCTCCATGGGTCCTTGGTGACACGGCTTTATTATTTGTTTGTTTCTTTTCACTGCTCTCATTACAAAAATACGGGGATCAGTTCCTAAACCTCGCTCGATAAACGGGTCGAGACGATCCTCGAAGCAGAGGAGAATGGGGGAATACATAGCATCGTTGTATCGCCCTGCTTCCCTGGTTATCTTTTAGTGTCTCTGTTCCCTTTCCCCGACGACGACGACGTTTGGTGCAAGACCCAGCCCAGCCCAGCTCCCTAGGCCTACGCCTAGACCTAGACTTAGACCTTGACCTTCAAGATTGCCTTTCCGAAATTCTGGCCCTTCAAGATGCCGACAAAGGCCTCGGCGGCGTTCTCGATGCCCACGTCCTCGTGGATCTTTGCCTTGAAGGTCCCGTCTTTCAACCACTTTGTCACGTTCTCGACGTGCTCCTTGTCATACTTGGGGCCCATGTTGGCGTCAAAGACCATGAAACCCGTCAGGGTCAGCCGTTTTATCACGCACTGGAACATGTTGCGGATCGGGTAGCGTTCTTCGGGCGGTAGGTTGTACTGTGAGATCTGGCCACATGCTACGATCCTGTGGTGGTGGGGATATGGGTCAGTCAAATGCCATGTCCAGGAACCATGAGGTGATCTGGATGAATGAAGCAAGAGAAAAGGGGGGG